TGGCCCCACATGGAGCTCCACCGAAAGCCCGAGTGGCTGCGTTCGCATGACACCACCGCGCCCATGTTGACACACCCCTCACACGCTTCGTGCCCCATAGGGAACTCCACCGAAGACGATACCAACAAGTGCGTAACTCGACTGCATATGTTTGGGTCCTTCGCCAGGATAATTTTCTTCAGAATCTGCAAGAGTGCGACCGCCAGTTTCCTTTTTGTTCTGAAAAGTGGCGTTGGAGAGCCATGCTGTTCTTTGTTTCGTGACAGTCGATATTTACATCCTTCACAATCTAGGGTTTTGAAGGATTTCGTCGTGTGCGCCCGACGACACGCGCGTGTGCACTTCGTCCCACTGTTTGCAAAGGGGTTCTTTTAACAGCACCCGCGCAGGTGCGTTCGAAAGATTTTGGCATGCGCGCGCGAGAGGCCCTTTTTTCCTTCAGAGAAACGTGACAACATTTGGTTTAACGTTTTTTTTTTTTTTTTTTGTTTGAACATTGTGTATGTAGATATATCTGTTTGTACAGAACGAAAACCAATAATTCGCAAGAGCGCGGGCGCAACTGTGTCTTGAACTTTCTTGTTGCGCAACCATATGTTTTGATATGTGTTCGGGACACTTGATTGTGACGTCCTTGCAGCACCAAGGTTTTTTGACAGGTTCTGGCATGCGCGAGCGACGACGCGCGCGTGCACAGCTCGTCAATTTCTTGCAAGACCTCTTTGAGCATTGCTGATTTTTGATAAACGAGTGTGCGCGCATAGCATTTGTTGTAGAGGATGAGGGGGGATACCAGCCTGGCTGGGATGGTATGAATTCATATTCAGGGTGGACGATGGGGCAGAACCGAATATAAATTGCAATGCGGAAAAATGAGCGGTTAAGTCCAAGGGGGGGAAATCTTAAAATTTTATTTTGAAAGGAGAATCTACGCGAGGGAGCGACTACGCGGCGACGGGTCGGCGCCGGCGAACACGAACCGCCAGACCGACAATCAGGCCCAGACGACGGGCGGCGACGAGGCGGCGATGGGACGGCGACGGCTAGCACGGAACCGCCAGACCGACTTTCAGTGCCAGACGACGGGCGGCGGTGACGCGGCGATGTAGCGGCGACGGTGAGCACAACAATCGGGCCAAACGACAGACGGCGACGAGGCGGCGACGGGGCGGCGACGGCGGTCACAGCACCGCCAGACCGACAATCATATCCAGTTCCTTATGCCAGAAATACGAACCCGTAAGTGCAAGCATTGTTTTGGGGAACGTATGGAATCGCGACGGCTGAACCTAGCCAATTCGCATGGCTGTGCATATGGCGTTTCTGTGTTCGCGCAGGGTCTGTTTCCCGCTTTTTAATATGCTGGCTAAGCTCGGTCCGCGGCACCCTCGAGTGGGCAAGCAGGTGCCAGAGGATCAGGGCCTTCGTCGTCATTTTTCGGCCTCCAGCTTGGTGCATCCCCAGACATCCGACGTCATATTTTTGTTTGACGTGGACTCCTGGATGTAGGCCTCTCGAGCCCTTTTTCTCTATCGATGGTGTGCTATGATGGTCCCCCCCCTCCCAGAAGGCAGAAACCCAGGGAAGCGTCCTGCCATTTTTACCTAACAGCGAAGACTGATAGGTTTCTAGTGGGATCAAAAGAGAGCAGCAGATCACTCCACAGGGGGGTCCGGGCAGGTGTTGGGAGTTGCCGGGCGGCAGGTGCCGGGCTCGTTTTTCACCAACAGTCACACACTTCGTGCTCTTCGACTTCCCAGAACTCCATTCCCAGGCCACATTCTGAATACCCGGATGCAACAGTCACACACTTCGTGCTCTTCGAGATCCCAGAACGCCATTCCCGGGCCACATTTAGAATAACCGGATGCAACAGTCACACACTTCGTGCTCTTCGAGTTCCCAGAACGCCATTCCCGGGCCACATTTGGAATACCGGATGCAACAGTCACACACTTCGTGCTCTTCGAGTTCCCAGAATTCCATTCCCGGGCCACATTTTGGATGCCCGGAGCCAACTGTAGGCCACTTCGTGGTCTTCGAGTTCCCAGAACTCCATTCCCGGGCCACATTTTGAATGCCCGGAGCCAACTGTAGGCCACTTCGTGCTCTTCGAGTTCCCAGAACTCCATTCCCGGGCCACATTTTGAATGCCCGTAGCCAACTGTAGGCAACTTCGTGCTCTTCGACTTCCCAGAACTCCCATTCCTGGGCCACATTTTCAGCAGGGGCAAGAGCACGACGAGGAGGAGGACGAGCAAGACCAGGAGGACGAGGACGAGCAGGAGCAGGACGAGGAGCAGGAGGAGCAGGAGAAGAAGGACGAGCAGGAGGAGGAGGAGGACGAGCAGGAGGAGGAGGACGACCAGGAGGAGGAGGACGACCAGGGAGGAGGAGGACGACCAGGAGGAGGAGGACGACCAGGAAGAGGAGGAGGAGGAGGAGGAGGGGAGGGGGAGGAGCACCAGGAGGAGGAGGAGGAGGAGGAGGAGGAGGAGGAGGAGGAGGACGAGGACGAGGAGGAGGAGGAGGGGGGGGGAGAGTACCAGGAGGAGGAGAACGAGGACCACCAGGAGGAGGAGAACGAGACCACCCAGGGACGGAGGAGGAGGAGAGGATGAAGAGGAGGAGAGGAGGAGGAGGAGGAGGAGGAGGAAGAAAAAACACCAAGGAGGAGAGGACGAAGCAAGACGCGGAGGACGAGGAACGTGGACGCTGAAACCAGGAAAGAGGGAGGAGGAGGAGAGGAATGAGGAAGGGGAGGGGAGGACTACCAGGAGGAGGAGGAGGAGGAGGAGGAGGAGGAGGAGGAGGAGGAGGAGGAGGAGGAGGAAGAGGAGGAGGAGGACGAGGAGGGGGAGGAGGAGGGGGGGGAGAGCACCAGGAGGAGGAGAACGAGGACCACCAGGAGGAGGAGGAGGAGGAGGAGGAGGAGGAAGAGGAGGAGGAGAGAGCACCAGGAGGAGGAGGACGAGCAAGACGAGGAGGACGAGAACGAGGACGAGCAGGAGGAAGAGGAGGAGGAGGAGGAGGAGGAGGAGGAGCAGGAGCAGGAGAAAGAGGAGGAGAGGAGGAGGCAGGCTGAGGCTGAGGCTGTGACTGCGACTGCCGTTGCCGCTGCGACTGTCATCGCGAATGCGACTACGACTGCGAGAACAGCAGAATTCGACAACTGGATTTTCATCTGAATCTTAAGGGGAATGCTTTCAGATATGCTTCTACACATCGCTGTTAGGTTGCTTTGCCGGGATAATTTTATCTCGACGCCCAGAGGTTGAGTTTTTCATTACTTCAGTTTAGATCAGCTTGCGTAGCTTGAGCCTTGGCTTCGGCTTCGCTCTGCACAGATTGCTTGGCCTCGCGTGACACGGCTGAGGCTATTCTTTCTAAGTCAGCGTGGCTCCAACTTGACCGCTTTGTGTGTTTTGTTGCTGTGTTCAACGGTCTTCGTGGTTGCTGAGTATCGATTGTTTCTGCTCGCTCTCTCCCTCTCTCCCTCTCCCCTTCCATCCGTCGGTCGGTCGGTCGGTCTGTCCGTCTGTCTGTCTGCCTGCCTGCCTGTCTGTCTGTCTGTCTGTCTGTCTGTCTGTCTGTCTGTCTGTCTGTCTGTCTCTCTGTCTCTCTGTCTGTCTCTCTGCCTCCCTCCTGCTCCCTCGCATCCTTCCTGCTCTCCGGCCCCGAGCGCCGACAGACTCGGTGGGCGAGAGGCACATACACGTCCGCACCCGCGGCCTTGCAGGCGCTTTGGCCCCGGGCCGCGGCCCCGCGGCTGCGGGGCGATTTCTTCTTCGCGGACGCCCCGCTCCCGGCGCACCCGTGCGGCCGCGCAGCCACGGGATCGCGCCCCGGGAGCCCATGCCGCGCGGGCGTGGATGCGGACGTGCCCGCCGCTCGCGTAGAGTGCTCCTCGGAGGCGGAGGGATTCTCCGAAGGGCCCAGGCGACCCCTCCTCCTCCTCCTCCTCCTCCTCCTCCTCCTCCTCCTCCTCCTCCTCCTCCTCTTCGTCCTCCTCCTCCTTCCTCTTCCTTTCTCCTCCTCCTCCTCCTCCTCCTCTCTCCTCCTCCTCCTCCTCCTCCTCCTTCTCCTCCTCCTCCTCCTCCTCCTCCTCCTTCCTTCGCCTCTCCTCCTCCTCCTCCTACTCCTCCTCCTCCTCCTCGTCCTCCTCCCTCTCCCCCTCCTCCCCCTCCTCCATCGCCTCCTCCTCCTCCTCCTCCTCCTCCTCCTCCTCCTCCGCCTTCTCCTCCTCCTCCTCGGGTCGCATGCGGCCCCGGGGGAAAAACCGTGCACGCGGAGGTCCACCCTTCGGAGAGGGCGCTCCAGGCGCTCCAGGCCGCCCCACCCGCCCGCCGCCGCGGCCGCAGGATCCCCGAGCAGGTCGTCGAGGGAGGGCTGCAGCTGGGGTGCGCCGCCGCCGCGCCTCGGTCTTCTGCCGGCCGCTGCCCGGGGGGGGGCGGCGGGCATCGGCACGATCGAAATGGGCACTGAAAGGGTTGTCACAATGCCCAACTGCAGTTCCTGTTCATTTTGAGCAGGGCTCGCTGTCCGCGCCGCCGCGGCCTGTGTCCATTTGAGATAGAAGGCCGCCTGCCCAACAGCAGCCGCTGTTGGTTTGGGACGACATTTGTTGTTGGGCATTGTGCCCATCGTTTCCGTACCCATTTCGGGCGTCCAAACGTGAGGGGGGGACAGGCTGGCTCAGGGATGGACGGCTATCTGTCATGGCGCCAACATCAGGCGATCGCAGACATGGATCAAGGGGGCGTGGATTAGCGACGGGTCCTTGTTCCGTGGGAAATCGCGGATTGCTGCCGCCGAGCGAGGCGCCACCGGCCGCATTTGGGAGGAGCGCCAAATCCATGGATCGCTAATCCATGTTTGCGCGCCCCCGACAACATCGCAGAGCGGATTTGGTCTGGAAAGCGATAGGGTGGAACTGGGGTGTCCTGCAGAAATCCGGATTTCGAGGTGGATTTCGTTTTTTTTTGGGGGGGGGGCAGGAATGAAGACGAAAACGAATCCACGCGAAGTTCACTTCGTTTTTCGCTCGCCGTTTCGGGCAAAAATCCACGCAGAGATCCACGCAGAAATGCACGCAGAAATCCGCTGCAGCACGTCTGCAAGGCTGGTGCAATGATATCTGGGAGTCGAAGCTCGAGGTTTTTGCGCATTTCCGTCGGTCCCCGGCGGTTTAACAGCCTCGGGGTGCTTTCCAGCAGCTGCGCCTCGCCGAGGGCGTTCCAGGGGTGTTCGGATCGTACCGACCGGCCACTGGAATAGCCGAGTCATGACACGAAAACTAGACTTTTTTTTTGGGGGGGGGGGGGGGTATTTTTTGTATATACATATGTACTATAAACTATTTCGAGATTTTTGGGAGTATGTATGTTTTGAGTATTTTTGTTTTGTCGCCCAAAATCCCCATGTAGGGGGACATGCCCGACCTAACGATACTGCTGGCCTTCCCTGGGCGCCACGGCTGGAGTCGCCTCGAGATTCTGGCCAGAAGCCACTCTCGGAGAGCTCCAGGGAGCTGCGGTAATTGCTTTTGTCATTGATAGCGTTTCGCTAGAGTCGGTATCGTTTCACCAATCCCCATCCCCATCTCCATCCCCTTCGAGATCCCCACCACGTTACCACCCCACTTGCGGATGCACCCCTCGAAACCCGAAGAGAACGACCTATATCCCCATCTAGGGGGGTAAATCGGCCAGCGGGGCCCAGGCCATGCCGCTGGGGATGGGGATCGGTTAAACGATATTCATGGAGGGTTCAAATCTTGGAACAAATGGACGGCGCAAGAGTTCCACAGGGGGAGCGGGGAGCTCCAGACCACCCCGTCGGGCAGCCGCTTCGCTCGAGACTTCTCTACGGCCTAGGCAGAGATCGTGCTCTCGCCTCCATGCCGGCTGCTCCTCTGGCCTGGACGGCCACGACCCCTGGCACAAAGGCTTGAGGTGCACGTGGCCGTGCTCCCACCCCTGCCCCGACTCTGACGAGCCTGTTCTCCACCGCGACCATCAGTCGGAGGGGGAAGGAGGGGGAAGGAGGAGGAGAAGGAGGAGGAGAAGGAGGAGGAGGAGGAGGAGGAGGAGGAGGAGGAGGAGCCTGTACTGACTGCTTTGAACTGTTCGCCCAAGATCCGCCTGTAGGGGGACGTGCCCGACCTGATCCTATCACCATCCCGGCTGAGGCATCATGCCCTGAAGTGAGGAAATGGCTCATCTTTCTCATCCTGCGGAGCCCGGGGCGGGATCGGCCGCTCTGGCCCGTTCTCCATTCAGGATGCAACCCCTGGGAGATTGAATTCTGCATTGGTGCTGGTTTTCTCGCGGTCGATAATCATCTGGGCTGATCAGGCCTAATTCGGTCTGATCCCGCTTGATCCGGCTCAAGCCGGCTTCATCCCTGGCTCATCCGGCCTAATTTGGTGAAGTGGCACCTTAACCGGGATTCTAATCGCTGTTAGTCGTTCCAACAACAAACCTCCCTGGAGTCGCCGCCGAGCAACAGTTAGCATGCGAAGAACGGTATCAGATAAACTTTTTCGCTGTCGGGAGCGCCTGCCCGCTGGAAAGTTTATGCCTTGACGCGCCACCGAAAGGGTATAAACTTTCCAGCCGCCCTGGGACAGGCGCCTCCGACAGCGAAAAGTTTGCTTTGTACCGTTCTTCGCCCGTTTAAAAAAGAGGGGGCCGATCGCTTGATTGCACCGTGGATGGAGAGGGCCTCCGGTCACGCCGTCGCACGCATCGGCCGCTACGCTTCGTGCAGGCTTCGCGGCCGCTCTATGGCGTGGCACTGCTGCAGCGGTTGCAGGCTTGTCGAGTAGGGGAGGGAGGGAGGGAGGGAGGAAGGGAGGGAGGGAGGGAGGGAGGGAGAGAGCAAGGGAGGGAAGGAAGAGGATGATGATGATGATGATGATGATGATGAAGATGATGAATGTGATTGTGATTTGAGACGATGCTGATGATGATGATGATGCTGAATGTTATGATGATTCCGATGAATGCTTGATGATGGATGAATGATGATTATGATGATGATGATGATGGATGATGATCTGTATGATGCTGAGGATGCTGCTGATGATGATGATGATGATGATGATGATGATGATGATGAATGATGATTATGTGAATGATGATGTGATGATAGATGATGATGGTGATGCTGATCTGAAGGCTGATGATGCTGATGATGCTGCTGATGATTATGATGATGAGGAGGAGGGGAGGAGGAGGAGGGAGGGAGGAGGAGGAGGAGTGGAAGTAGGATGAGGAGGAGCAGGAGAGTAGGAGGAGGAGGAGGATGAAGAGGAGGAGGGAGGGGATTAGGAGGAGGGCGGAGGAGGATGGCGGAAGGAGGAGGAGGATGGATGAGGAGGAGGATGGAGGGGAGGGGGATGGGGGAGGAGGAGGACGAAGGAAGCGATGCCGCGAGGTTATCTTAGCATTGGGGGATAACTTGTCCCTTTAGCTTTGGACGAGGAGTCCAAAGCACATGTGAGGTCATTCGTTGGGTTCGGCGCACTTTTCGGAATTGGCCGCGTCTTGGGGCTGTGGGCGTACGCTGTCGTGCTTGCACGATCATGCCAGGCAGTTTTTTTTTTGTTTTGTTTTCGCCAGTTCACCTACGGAGGAATAAGAGGGTGGTGGAGGAGAGTGAAGTATGAGGGGAGGACGAGGGGAAGGAGACGAGGGGAGGAAGAGAAGAATCTGAAGATCTGAGGGGAGGGACGAGAGGAATAGGAGGAGGGAGGGGAGGAGCAGGAGGAGGAGGAGGAGGAGGAGGATGATGATGATGATGATTGTGATGTTGATGACATGCTGATGAATGGATTATGATCTGATTATTATGATGATTCCGATTGATGATGAGGATGTATGGATATGATGATGATGATGATGATGATGATGATGATGATGATGATGATGATGATGATGATGATGATGATGATTATGATGATGATGATGATGCTGATGATGATGATGATGCTGATGAGTGATGATGATGATGATGATGATGATGAGGAGGAGGAGGAAGGGAGGAGGAGGAGGAGGAAGAGGAGGAGGGAGGAGGAGAGAGGGAGGAGGGAGGGAGGGTAGGGAGGGAGGGGGAGGGAGGGGGAGGGAGGGGAGGGAGGGAGGGAGGGAGGGAGGGGAGGGAGGGGAGGGAGGGAGGGAGGGAGGGAGGGAGGGAGGGATGGCGGGAGGAGGGAGGGAGGAGGGGAGGTAGGGAGGGAGGGAGGGAGAGGGAGGGAGGGAGGGAGGGAGGGAGGGAGGAGGGAGGAGGGATGGAGGGAGGAGGGAGGGGAGGAGGAGGAGGAGGAGGAGGAGGAGTGAGGAGAGGAGGAGGGCGGAGGAGGAGGTGCGGAGGAGGAGGAGGAGGAGGAGGAGAGGAGGATATGATGGGGGGAGGGGGATGGGGGAGGAGGAGGACGAAGGAAGCGATGCCGCGAGGTTATCTTAGCATTGGGGGATAACTTGTCCCTTTAGCTTTGGACGAGGAGTCCAAAGCACATGTGAGGTCATTCGTTGGGTTCGGCGCACTTTTCGGAATTGGCCACGTCTTGGGGCTGTGGGCGTACGCTGTCGTGCTTGCACGATCATGCCAGGCAGCGCGCCAGTTCACCTACAGGAGGAAGACGAGGGTGGTGGAGGAGGAGGAGGAGGAGGACGAGGGGGAGGAGGACGAGGGGGAGGAAGAGAAGAATCTGAGAGGATCTGAGGAGGAGGACGAGGAGGAATAGGAGGAGGGAGGGAGTGAGGGAGGGAGGGAGGGAAGGAGGAGGGAGGGTCGGAGGAGGGTCGGCGCGGGTGCGCCCGTGGCCGAGGCACTGGCTGCTGCAGGACTTTGCCGTCGGGCAGCTCTGGGCGCGCTGCCGGCGGTCCAGGCGAGCCCCGGGCGCAATGCCCAGGATGAGGGTGCTGAAGTGGAAGGCGGGGGAGGTGGAGGCGCTGGCTCGTCTCGATGATCCTCAGGACGTGTGTTCGCCCAGGATGTGTGTGTGTGTGTGTGTGCGCGTGTTACACCGCTCAGCTCCATCGGTAGATCATTACATCGCCTGCGTCGCGTTGAAGGGCCCCAGAGGGCAAGCACGCGCTGGCGCCAGCACGCGTCTCGAGGCTCAGCGATCGCCGCTGGGGCGCGGAGCTGCGCTGCGCGCTGCACCGCGCCCCAGCGCGGCGGCCGCGGCCTTGCCTCGGGCGACCGTGCGCCGAGGAGGCCTCGGACGGGGGCGGGCGCCGAGCTGGCGGGCTGGGGGCCAGCCGGGGGCTCTCTGGAACCACGTGGGGCCTCTCGGGGACGCGGGGCTCCTTTCGATTCCTCCGATGCGACTCGATTCGATTTCGATGGCTTCCGATTCCGATTCGATTCGACTCGGGATTCCGATCTGGGTTCCGATTCCCTCTTGGGCGCGGATTAGCCTGCCGATTTCCGTCGATTCGACTTCTCCCGGCTCGGCTGCCGATTTCCGCCGATCCGATTCGTGACTATCGCCGATCCGACTTGTCGATTCGATTCTGGGCCTTCCTGGGGAAGCCTTGGGGCCTCTGAGGGGGCATTTAGGTTTTTTCGGGGAGAAACGCGAAATTCAATATGGTATTTCCTCTCTTGGGAGTGGGTCCTCGTGGAGCTCTCTTGGGCTGTCGTGAGAGGGCCCCTGGGGCATTTCGGGCCCACCTGGGACGTCTCGGGGCCCTCTTTGGGGCCTCCTGGGGTGTCTTTGGGTGACATTTTGGGCCCTTGGGCGCTATCAAAACGAAACCAACGACTATGCTAATCTCAAGGGTATGGGAGTATTTTCGCCTCTTGGGGTCCTCTCGGCGGTCCTCTGGGAACACTCTTGGGCCGTCGTGGGCAGCCTGGAAAGCATCTTCGACCGTCGTGGAGCTACCTTGGGCCGTCTCGACGCTCTCTTGGACTGCCTTGGTGCTCCGTTTAGGCTCTCTTGGGCCGTCTTGGAGCCCTCAGGGGCCATTTTGGAGCTGCACAAGGATCAGGAGGGGACAGGAACACAGAGGCACACTTTAATCGTTGTTTCCCATGAAGACATGGCGAACATAGGAAGTAGAGGGGAAGACGAACATTCAGACAATATGGAACACATGGGTAATCTGGGGATTTATGTTAATTTATTTGTGTTTCTGGGCCCCTTCAAAGGAGCCTGAGGGGGGGGGCCGGACCCCCCTGATCAGTTCGCCGCGGGGTCGTCCAGGGGCTCGTCGTGGGCCAGGGGGGGGGCCCACACGCGCAGTTTGGGGTTTCTGGGGGGGGGGGACTACAAGGGGGAGGAACATGCCACGCGCCTGGAGGCCCACACGAGGTCGTCGGATTCAAGGTGTCTTGAAACCTGTCGGCAGGCCATGGGAGGAGGTGAACGTTCGTGGACCTTGAGCTTGAAGGGCTAGTACACGCGATTATGTCTGGACAGCCTTCACGCTGTAGTTTTGTTTCGACTCGGCAAACGCGGCAGTTTGATTTGGCGGTCCAGCCATAACGGGTCGCCCTGATCTTCGTAACGTTTTCGTTGGATTCTGTCTTTATGCACAGGTATCGTTATTACACGAGGGCGCTCTTTGTTTCGCTACAGGCCCACTGTTGTCGTGTGCGAGCGGTTAGTCGAGAGGAAGAGGACGAGGAGAGGAAGAGGATGAAGAGGAGGAAGAGGACAGAGACGGACCTGGGTGGAGGAGGACGAGACCAGGACGCACAGAGGAGGTCTGTCAAGCTGTCGTTCGTGCCTCGCTGCAAGCCGCGGGGGCGTCAGGGGATCTACCGTGTCGGACTTCACCAGCCAGGCACCTGGCCGCGTGCACCCTTGTCCTGCTTTCTTGGGGAAGTGTGGCGCTGCTGACCCCGTGGCTCGCAGCTTTCGCGCCCAGTTCCGCATGCAGTGAGGCCTCCCAGGGATGGCGCGTGCATGCAGTCCTCGATGAGCATCAGCATCGTCTGACCTATCCCCATCCCCACTGGGGCATGGTATCTCAGACCCAACACGCCACCCTCCCGGTTGGGGATGGGCCCCGCGAGACCCGAAGGAAGAGACAGATTTCCCGACTTGGGGGGGGGGTACGTCGGCCAGTGAGGCCAAGGCCACGCCAGTGTGGATAGGGATCACGATCACAGCGGGCGCGACTCGGCGATCGCGCGGTGTGGGCAACAGCGCAACGTGCACGTGCTCGGTGGCTGCGGCTCGCTCGGTCGCGCTCAAGCTCGAGCTGTAGTCACCTGTCGAGGCAGAGGGGGTGCTGAGCACGCTGCGATCTGGGCAGCGCCTGCAGCCCGCAGCCCTCGTCTCCTCGACCAGTGCCGACGAGCCTGCCCCCCTTTGATACAGACGAGCGAATGTTCTGTGGCAGGTCCAGGGAATTTTGGTGGCCTGACGATCGACGCAGTGTGCAGGGCTTTCCTGGAGAGGGAGCAGCTGTGGGCCACAAGAGCGGACATTCCTCGCCAGCTGCAGCCTGACGGGTGTTGGATGAATTTGGCGAGATCCGAGATGGGACGCGTAAGTCGCAAAGCAACGTCCTCGCAGCAGTGAGACCACGACTGGCTGTCAGAGGGTAGAACGGAAGCAGGGGGTCTTCGCCACCTGCCCTTTCAGTATTGAGCTTCTCGGCCCAATGCTCCTCCATTTCGTCGGCATGTCAAGTTTGAGCTACTTCAACATTTCACGTTGCAAGTAGTCTCCTTCCCATCCTCCCTGCTCGTATTTGTGCTACGCCGGTTGCTCTCACACTCACAGTTTCGGCCAGACCTCGACGAGGCTCGAAGATCATGCACCTGCCGCCCGTGAGCTCACGGGACCGATGCGACCGTGCGCTGCTCGATCCCTCCTCTGCTTCCCCCATGCTCGCCCGAGCGCCCGCGAGGCTGTCCAGCTCCTCTTCCAGCGCTTCGACGTGCGCCCCGCGGGGCCCGGCTCCGAGGCGGGCGCGCGGGGGAAGGGGGCCGATCGCGCGCAAGAGGGACCCTTCGCCGGAGTGACCTTCGGTGCGGGCTCATCGGGAGCCTTGAGACGGGGTCAATGCAAACGGGGGTCAGCCATACCTCTACCCTCCCCTCGTTTTCCCTTTTTGGGGCCTCCTGGGAGGCCCTCGTCGCCACCGTTGGATTCCCCTCGAAATTCTGGTCAGAAAGCACCCCAGGAGAGGTCCGGGGAGTAGCGGTATGGGTACCTTTTGGCTTCCCCAGGGTCAGCCAGAGCGCTGGATCTTGCAGGATCCTGCAGGGCCAGGGGCGCATTAACCCGGGTTTGGGTGCAGGACCCTGCAGGATCCTGCAGGATCCTTCGCGTTGACCCGGGTTTGGGCGCAGGATCTTGCAGGATCTTGCAGGATCCTGCAAGGCCGACTGACCCGGGTCTGGATTGACCCGGGTCAGCAGATCCCCGAGGCTCCTCTGGGTCCCCCCGATCGCTCCGCGCGACGCGATAAGCGGCTGCTGGCGCGCCCAGATTTGGCCACGCTGCGAACCCCCTGAGTCCGCGCACCAAAAAGGTCCCTCTCAGCCAGGGTCATTCTTGCGGGTAGTCTGAAGTCGGGCGTGTCCCCCTACAGGAGGAATATTCAAAGAACTAGTCGCCAAATAGTCAGGGGACGATTCCTGAACTGTTTCTGAATATTTTTGGCATCTTCGGGGTATTTTTCTTTACAATTATCGCCCCGAAGCCCGCCTGTAGGGGGACACGAGCCCGACCTGAGGGTAGTCGGAAGGGGCGCCGACCGCTCGCGCGCCTTCCCGCCAGCCCAGGCCGCGATCCCGGGCGCGTCGGCCTGCGGCCCGTGGAGGCCTTCGGGGGCCTCCGGCGGGCGCCCCCCCCCGCGGGGGGGCCTTCGGAGGTCCTCGGCGGCCCTCGGCGGTCTGCGGAGGCCGTCGGAGGCCATCGCATGTCGTCGGAGGCCGTCGGCGGCCATGGGCGGCCTCGGGTCGGAGCCCTTCTCGGGTCTGCGGCGCCGCCGGCCGCGCTCGATTCGGAGGGGCGGCCCCCGCGGCCTCTCGCGCTCCTTCTCTGGGGTCCCCGCGTCGGGCCCCGCGTCGGGGCGTGCGCTGGAGAGGCCAACTCCTCCTCCTCCTCCTCCTCCTCCTCCTCCTCCTCCTCCTCCTCCTCCTCCTCCTCCTGCTCCTCCTCGGGCCCCTTCCTCCTCCTCCACCCTCCCTCCTCCTCCTCCTCGCTCCCCTCCTCCTCCTCCTCCTCCTCGCTCCTCCGCTCCTCCTCCTCCTCCTCCTCCTCCTCCTCCTCCTACCTCCTCCTCGCTCCTCCTCCTCCTCCTCCCCTCCTCCTCCTCCTCCCACTTCCACCTCTCCTCCTCCTCCTCCTCCTCCCCCTCCTCCTCCTGCTCCTCCTCCACCTCCTCCTCCTCCTCCTCCCCCTCCTCCTCTCCTCCTCCCCCTCCCCCTCCCCCTCCCCCTCCCCCTCCCTCTCCTCCTCCTCCTCCTCCTCCTCGTCGTCGTCCTCCTCCCTCCTCCTCCTACTCCCCTCCTCCTCCTACTTCCTCCTCCTCTCCTGTCCTGCCTCCTCCTCCCTCCCCTCCTCCACCTCCTCCTCCTCTCCTCCTCCTCCTCCTCCTCCTCCTCCTCCTCCTTAGCCCTCCTCCCCTCCTCCTCCTCCTCCTCCATCTCCCTCCTCCACTCCTCCTCCTCCACCCTCCTCCTCCTCCTCCTCCTCCTCCCTCCTCCTCCTCCTCCTCCTCCCCTCCGACCACGCTCCACCTCCTCCTCCTCCTCCTCCTCCTCCTCCTCCTTGCTCCTCCTCCTCCTCCTCATCCTCCTCCGCGCTCCACCTCCACCTCGTCCTCCTCCTCCTACTCCACCTGCTCCGTCCTCCTACCTCCTCCTCCACCTCCACCGCTCCTCCTCCTCCGCTCCTCCTCCTCCTCCTCCTTGCTCCTCCTCCTCCTCCTCCTCCTCCATCCTCCGCGCTCCGCCTCCTCCTCCTCCTCCTCCTCCTCGTCAGTCGTCCTCTTCCTCCTTCCTCCTGCTCCTCCTCCTCCTCCTTCCTCCCTCCTCCTCCTCCTCCGCCTCCTCCTCATCCGCCTCCTCCTCCTCCTCCTCTGGGCCTCCGCGCAGAGAAGAGAGGCATTGCCACGGCCGCCCCCGGCCTCCCGGGGCGCCTGGTTGTCCTTTTCTCCGGAGCGTGGGCCCCTGAGGGCCGGCCCCCTCCCGTTCCTCTCGGAGGTTGACAGACCTCCTACCCTGACACGTCGATTAAGGAATCGGCTGTTTTCGGTTCGCGAGAGGGCGTCGCGGCCGTCATTTTTGCGGGTCCAGGTCCGTCGGTTTCGGTCCCAGGCCGTTGTCACTAAGGGGAGGTCTACTAAAGGGAGGTTTGTCCACCGCCGATCCTCAGGGGCAACGACAGGGGGGGGATAGGCATAGGGGGGGATGCATCGACCCCCAATCACCCATTGATCGCCGATAGGGGCCCGATAGCCCCAGCCTGTCCAGGAGGGTGCGGATTCACTCTCGGAGGTCTATCGCCGATCTATCGGCGATGCATCGCCGATTCCAGGTCGATGCATCCCCGCCTATCTTTGCCCCTCAGTTCCCCCCTTATCGTTGCCACTCAGTTCCCTGGAGCAGCCTTTCGCCCCAGGTTGCGTCGGGCACGTCCCTGGGCAGTAGCGTATTCAAAAGCAGTCAAACAATAGTAGGGGTAGGATTTTTCCATAAAAAAATAAACCTTTGGAGTATTTTTAACTTTTTATCCCAAATCCGCCTGCAGGATGACATGCCCGACCGAACCTCAGGTGGTGCTTCGACGGTCCCGGGGCCTGGTGAGGGCCCCCGTATCCCGAGAACCGAAGACTTCGCGTCGTGATGTCTTCATTGGCGTCACCCCTAACACACTGTTACTCTGTGTGCGTCGTTCCCCCAGGGGCGACGCGCGTACTGAAAAATCTTGCAATGTACCCTCCGTGGCGGGCGTCTTTTGGCAATACCGCTGGACGAGGAGGAGGAGGAGGAGGAGGCGGAGGAGGAGGCGGAGGAGGAGGA